CTCCCCCAGTGCGAAAAGTGTTTGATGTTACACTCAACCCTGTAAAAGGGCCTATTTTTGCTTTCCTTTTTTTGCTTTTCCTTGTCTAGTTCACGCATTTCATAATACTGTCGTTTTAAACAACGATCTGATTTTCAGGGCAGCCATCTCCCCTGACAAAGCTTCAAAGGGCTGAGATTATGCCTTTTTTGCCTTCCAAGAGTGTGACATTTTAAGAAACGACCACAAAATTTTCCCACCCATTTGCCTTTAATTTAGAATCGAATACGAAAAGAAGAAAAGGCAATCAAAAGGCGACATTTTTTGGTAGAAGCGAAATCACCATAATATTCAAATACTTTACTACACATTGTCAGAGTTTGCAAATCTACTTAATAAAAAGAATGCAATCTTCTCCTTGCCCTCTACGCACAAACACTTAGAAGAGGGCGATGAGAAGCCAACATTTTTGTAGAAACGAAATCGCCATTAATCTAAGCATTCACCGTCATAACGTTAGCTTATCGATATCCCTTTACAAGTAATATTTTTATTATAAATTTAAAATTTTGGTTTCGAGAGTTTACCTGTACTATTTTATGATATTCATTGTAATATGATTTTTATACACAAAATGATGTAAGTGGAGCATATACAGGCAGTGAATTCAACCCAAGCCTCTTTGAATCCAAATTGAAATTCACTAGGAAGTGAATTGCAGAACCTGCCTGATAGTACATTAAATATATATAATATATATAAATGTACTTATATTTAAATTATCCATAAATGCGTATGTAACGTGTTTGAATGAGGGGCTGCATGCGTATTTTGAAATAAGAAAATAAATAAAATATTTGCATAAATATGTAGTAAACACATATTTTTCGCTCATAAAGTTTCTATTGCTGGCCGAGCAAAGGTAAGTTAAAGTACGAAATCACACTAATACCCTTTATTCTTAAAAGGCGACCACTTCCATGGCTACAAGGGCGCTGATGGTGTGTAAGCGACTCGCGTTGAAGAGCCGGGGTACTCTGGCAACGGCAAGGCAGTCTCTCAACAAGATTACACGTCTGGTGTGTGTTTGCATCACGGGGCTATGCGCATATGTCCAACGGCAGCGCTGGAAGTAGTCCTTGAACTGGAGGCACTGCATATTACAATTGAACAGAAGGCGAAGCGAACTCCCTTAAACTTTACGGGACAGGGTTTTGGCAAAGGTAAGATCCTATCCTTCAGGAATAGGATATAATGCTGTTCCCCAGAGATGATATGCACAAGAGATTA